CACACACACACACTCCTCACCTGGCAGCCCCGCCTCACCTGTGTCCGGGCTGCTGTTGCCATGTCTTCCTCATGTATTCATGAGGGTGCGGGCGGGCCACGGGCGTGAGGCGGGGTGGGCTTCACGCCGGCGAGAAGCCCCACCCACCCCCCACCCACCCAGCAACCGTCTCACTTCCACCCGCAATAAGGCCAACTCTCACTGTTACTCAATAAAAAAATGTTCCATTTTCTCCTAAGTTAAAACTTACTTTACACGATTTATAAATACGGGTTTCACTTGAAAACACCAAGTGGGTTGACCCCTCACTATTAAGGGGAAGAGAGAAAGAGAAATCCCAGGAGACATGATCACAACGTGCAAAATTTTACAAGCCGCATACAGGCTTGTAAAATTTTCACTTGTGTGACGAGTCGTTTTACAGTGGCATATTCTTTTACACACACACACACACACACACACACACACACACACACACACACACACACACACACACACACACACACACACACACACGCCCGGGTTTATTTTCGAAGACACAAGTAGGACAATTCACCTGAAGCCTCTGTTCACCTAGCAGTAAATAGGTACCTGGGAGTTAGACAGCTTTTGTGGGCTGTCTTGGGGGATGTGTCCACGTGTGTGTGTGTGTGTGTGTGTGTGTGTGTGTGTGTGTGTGTGTGTGTGTGTGTGTGTGTGGTGTGTGTGTGGAGGGTGGTGGTGGTGAGAGGGAGGAGTGGTCGGGTGTAGGTGGCAGGGGAGTGCCACGGTCGAGGGCCAGGTGGCCAACTCAGCCCACCGTGTGTGCCGTGTCAGGGTGTGTCAGGGTGTCAGGGGCGCCGCATCAGACACGTAACATTAAATTTTAAATGAAACTCGGAGATGGCTAAACATGACCCCGAGTGGATTTACACCAGAGTGGGGGAGAGTGCCACCAGTGAGGGGAGAGTGCCACCAGTTGCTACCGTCTCCCTCATCCATGGTGCCACTGTGCCAACCTCTTCCTTGACCAAGTTTCACCAGTGCCAACCTCTTCCTTGACCAAGTTTCACCAGTGCCAACCTCTTCCTTGACCAAGTTTCACCAGTGCCAACCTCTTCCATGACCAAGTTTCACCAGTGCCAACCTCTTCCTTGACCAAGTTTCACCAGTGCCAACCTCTTCCTTGACCAAGTTTCACCAGTGCCAACCTCTTCCTTGACCAAGTTTCACCAGTGCCAACCTCTTCCTTGACCAAGTTTCACCAGTGCCAACCTCTTCCATGACCAAGTTTCATCAATGCCAACCTCTTGACCAAGTTTCATCAGTGCCAACCTCTTCCTTGACCAAGTTTCCATTTCAGTGCCAACCTCTTCCATCTTTCATCAGTGCCTTGACCAAGTTTCACCAGTGCCAACCTCTTCCTTGACCAAGTTTCACCAGTGCCAACCTCCAGCTTCCTTGACCAAGTTTCCATCCACCAAGTTTTATCATTGCCAACCTCTTCCATGACCAAGTTTCACCAGTGCCAACCTCTTCCATGACCAAGTTTCATCAATGCCAACCTCTTCCTTGACCAAGTTTTACCAGTGCCAACCTCTTCCTTGACCAAGTTTCATCAGTGCCAACCTCTTCCATGACCAAGTTTCATCAGTGCCAACCTCTTCCATGACCAAGTTTCATCAGTGCCAACCTCTTCCATGACCAAGTTTCACCAGTGCCAACCTCTTCCATGACCAAGTTTCATCAGTGCCAACCTCTTCCATGACCAAGTTTCATCAGTGCCAACCTCTTCCATGACCATGTTTCATCAGTGCCAACCTCTTCCTTGACCAAGTTTCATCAGTGCCAACCTCTTCCTTGACCAAGTTTCACCAGTGCCAACCTCTCCCTTGACCAAGTTTCACCAGTGCCAACCTCTTCCTTGACCAAGTTTCACCAGTGCCAACCTCTTC